TCTCCCTGGTCTCGACGAATGTTCTGGCTGTGCTGCACGCGCCAAATCATTTCTGTAGCATCGTACAGAGGCGGGGCAGAATCGTTGATGCTAGACCAAGGTTGTAGGGAGTGGAATGAAGGCTGTACAAGATAGACGAGCGAGATCGTGGTTCTAGAACTCTGCTACGAGGTTTTCCGTGTCAACATCTATTCGCTGAGAGAGTGGCCTTAGCCGGGATCAACTACCTGCTCTTACAATGCCAGGGACAGCATAATACGCAAGAACATTAACCTACGAGCACCAGGGTCGGAAATTCTACCGCGTAAGCCGTTTGTAACGAGGGGCTGCCCCGCAAATGCCATGGTTTGGCCTGCATTACGGTATCTCGTGGCATATCATCTTAGGGAATTTTCCTGGATAAGGGAGAAGTGTGGAAAAGGGGCTACTAGGGTCAAACGATAGTGCAATCACCATCGGTCATCCCTGAATTCAATATAATCAACGGACAAAGAGCCTGGTGCGTGGAATGACCGACGGGATGTAGGCTGCCCACTTCAATACGAAGATCTTAAGATGAATGTCAGTTGACCTATTCACATACCCTATCACCCGACCAAATGTAGAAGCACAACAACAACAACAACAACAACAACAAAAAGGAAAAGGTTAGGGGAATTCTGTCCGTCTTTCACCTTCATGTACCGGGCATGAAGGAGTAGCCCTCGAGCTCCAATCATAGTTAATCTGTCTACCCTAAGTATCCAATCGGGATAGCCGAGATAACCCTATTAGTATGGAGCCTTCACGGATTGTGGACTACTAGCTTATGTCGTTCATCGATCTCACTAGTTTCTTATCACCGCTTTTATATTAGATGGTGCCAAACCCAATGCATGCTTGGGGAAACCCGTCAATTTATCGTCTAGGAAAAGCATTAGATCAGGAAGCCCTCGGAGTGCGATTCCCAGATTGGTTCTCCCAAGCATTATGAGCCCGAGGTCATGCATTCGTGTAAGACTGAGACGTTTTAATGCATTAAACGCGGGGTCAAATATGGTCCAAGTGCCTTAAGCATCAATAACCCCTTATAGGCAATGTATAACTGCAACAGGAATACTAATCATACCCTGAAGTTTTAGAATGATTGAAGTGTGTATAGCGCTACCTTCAACTTCGGAGTACATCGAAGCTCTCAAAAACTCTCCGCCTCGTCTTAATTTGCTGAATGTCGTCATTTTTGCGCCAATGATAGGTTTGATGCGCACTATGTCACCGTTAGTTTACTATTCCCTTTACATATTCACCCCGGTAACTTCCTTCGTAGCTCTCATCATGTAAATTACCATTATTGATAGCTAGTCTCTCCGTAAATTCCCTCGACGACTTCACTGGGTCAATCGTCGTTGACAGTATATTCACGATATCATGCCAGGACGGGTCTATAAAAGCATCGGATCTCTCCCATCTCTCAGCCATTTCTTCCTCTGCATATATGTCCCATAAAATCCTCTCCACAAGCATCGAACATTACTACATTCGATTATTATATTATTTATATGAGGCTCTACTATCAATAGGCCACGCATACCTTACTACTCATATAGTATGCAAAGAAAGAGCATCGCTACGATCCAGGCGTCGAGTGATGCCGGCTCCCTTCACAATATAGTCCATCACGGGGCTGCCCTTTCTTGGCTCCTCGAACTAGCCGAGTAGGGATGATTAGGCGAAGCTCTAATTATATTTAAAATTTATAAACGTGCATATGCAATGCATACTGCGCGTCAAGTTTGACGTCGCATATACGTGCTATAAATAGGGGCACATACTGGCAATGCGGCACGCAGACGCCTCAGAAATGTGTTTCACGAGTGTTTATATGTGTCATTGGCGATATTTGTCGATAAAAGGCAATATGCGGCATAATTGAGTTACGGGAACTGGGCCGAATTGAGGTTTGGCCACTGGAAGACTGCATGAGAATCCGGGTATACAGGAAATGGCTTGAATCTGAAATTGTTTGTTCGACCGCCATTGAGTGGTCATCGAACCAGGAAAATGTTCCTGAAAGGAAATAAGCACTTTCGAATACCAACGCCGATTGCACACAATAAAGGTGCTTTTCTCTACAAGATCAATAAAGAGCAAGTAGGAATGAAATAGTCAAAAGGCTGTCCGACTTTGAATACGAAAACATGCGCATTGATGGCGTATTTATGAAGACTTTCAGGCAAGGAAGCTGGGGTATTGTTATGACTGCAACACATATTGCGGAAAGAATGTTCATAAAGTTGTGGACAAAGTGTCAAGCTATATTGAGATAGCGTATGCTCTGACTGCATGGACATAAGAGGGCGTAAATGACGATGGTAATCGTTATTATAAGTATTAGCATCCCGACAATTTCGAAAGATGGGATATTGGTTGCCGAATTAGACACGGTGAGCCCACATGGTACTTTAGATTCATGGGAAGCTGGGAGAAACGCGGTCTAATCGGAGACTAACCTCTGAATTGCAATACTGGCTGAGTTAATTCAAGATAGTACTCATGGTCTTTTTCTCCTCCCGAAGGATTTTACATGGGATGGGAGTTCTCAAAGCCTCGATGAAATCTTTTCTATCTTTGAAAAGTTATGCATCTCAGTCATATCTGGTCGAAAGAGTCAAATGGACTTTTCAAGTCACAGGAAAGAAAAACTTGGTAATGTTACCGTTGGTGCAGGCCCCTGGAGGGGGAATGATCCTGGAAATATCGATATACATGCACATACTGGGCACTCTGCGACTATGCCAATGGATTCCAAAGGGTAACTAAAAGGCTAATTTCTGAAAGCATTGGGGCACATCACGGGAAAAAAACCCCACCGAAATTCTAAGGATGCACTTTCCCCATCGTGTCGTCTTAATGCAGACAGCGATCGTCGACGCTAAATGTTACATATAGAGCCTGTTAGGGCATGTTTTTGAAAAGCTTAAGAAATGGGTGTCTGTTCGACAAAGAGGAAAAACAGTGATTGGGCACTTTCATGGCCTCTGTCTAGACTGCATGGATCCGAGTAAAGATCGATGGTCTGTGCCTAGATTGCATGAATCTGGGCAAGAATCGATAATCTCTGTCTAGACTGCATGGATCCGAGCAAGGACCTATGGTCCCTGCTTGGACTGTATGGATCCGAGTAAGGATCGATGGTCTGTGCCTAGACTGCATGAATCTGGGCAAGAATCGATAATCTCTGTTTGGACTGCATGAACCTTAGCAAGGACGTGCAAGAAAATATGGAAGAAGCTTATGGTTGCTTGCTCCATGATGAAGGACGACACGATATATTCTAGAGTCCTCGAGGTGCGAAAGGAAGGTCAGGATAATGGAAAGGAGGATTGCCTCGCACCTTCTGAGTAGGCCAGAAGCTTTTCTAAGACCGCTCTTGGAATTCACTACGTCAGCTTAGTTGTGAGGATAAGTTTGACATTCGGGTTGTTTTCAAGCGATCAAATATGCTACTACTTAGTGATGATGAATCATGGGCCTCAACTACATACTATTACCCGACAGGTGACCCTTCAGCTATCTCCTGCATTCCATTACTTTTCTTCCTGTTGCGGACAGACAGGGCATATTACAATCATGAAGATGCAACATTCCAGGAGTCTACAAGATAAGCAGTCTGGCAGTTTAACAAGTTTCTTCTAAACCTAAATTCCAAATTTCTATACCACCAAGAGAGGTTATATTATATTTAACATCTATATTAGAAATCCCGCTACTGGAATTACCAGCATATAATGATATATATTTTCCTGCTTATCGAGACTCGTATTATCAGCTAATAAAGTCAAGAACAGTACCAGACACCCGGTTTGCATGTTACTATTTACCAGATACGAAGCTACACCTAGATAGTAGTGTTTACCATAAAGAGCGCCCGTCAGCAATGTTCATCCCGGTGGGATGGCCACTCACGACAGAATCAGATGAGGCGTTGGAGCCACCGAAGGAAATCGGAGAATAGTACACTGCATGTTATCATTAAGAAAACAGGACGCTGAAGATCGGAGCGATGAGGTTAGAGTGGACAGTGATATCATTATATAAAGCCCTTTCGCACAAATAATTGACTTAGAAAATCAATTGGCCTGAATCAATGTGCCAGATGCAAAAAGCCCTCTCTCGTCCAGAACTATCGTTCTAATCCATAGTAGTGTACGTGTAACCTGGTCAAGTAACCTATATAATTCCTTGTGAGTGGCGGGAGACGTTATTGTCCTTCCTCCTTCCTTTCTTCCCCTAGTGCATGGAGTAGTAAGGGCGTGGCCCATTCATCATCTCTAGCTTTCCCGCTACGCCAGCGAGTTGGTTTTTACAGCGGAGATGGTAGCTATAGAGTGACCGGTTCGGGGGAGAATAAAACCTCCAAGCGACAATTTATGAGAACCATCCTGTGTTTTTGAATCCTGAAGACTCCATATGATTATGAGATCTTCAGGTGGAATGAAGATCAAAAGAGTAAATAGCAACTAGAAGCGGCACGGCCCGCAGCAACATGTAGTCCGAAGGCATTTTCTGCTCGATATGTTCATAGGATGGGGCAATGCGTATTTGAGAACGCTTCTTACTATTGATTTCGATCATCACTGTGCAACATGAACTATAGAACCATACGATATTGATCGGTCATCGGAACGAATCACCCCGCTTTACACGGACAGGCCTATATTTTCACTTTTGCTTTCGTAACAGTTCTTCCTAGTCCTCTTGTACATTGGAGTTAGCTTCAAATGCGTTTCGCTTTCATCTAACTCTCGATACCAAAGTGGAATGTTTGTAATATAAGGTATGAGACAACTAAACTGATGCAGACGAGTTGGTGGATGGGTGGGAGGATTATTCCACTACTCCGTATATGCCCACTTTATGCTACACTCTACGTTACGCACAGTAAGAATTACAATTCGTGGAAGAAATAATTGTCGAACAAGAGAAAAAATAGTGTTGACATTCTAGGCGAAATATCTTGCCTACTGACCATCTCTTTGGTCGTCTCTGTTGCGACCATCCCTGTCGCGACGCACACGCCGGAGCTCCTCCTCAACCCACGTACGCCGAGCGCTTGCAGCAGCCAATTCTTCAGCGGCGCGGGTAAGTCTATACTGGCTCTCCAGTTCCTCGACTGGTAATGAGACGAGGTTGCCACGAGGAATTAGATCAACCTGAGGCAGACCACCCCGTGTGAGCAGCCAGTTGTCGATGGCGCTCGAAGGGGAGCGAGACCGCTCGCGATACGTCGCTTCGCGATGAGGGGGAGAGCGGGATCGTTGGCGAGCATGCCAAGGAGGGAGGACAGGAGAGGGCGGACAGCCGGATTGCTGTGCGAGTTGTCGACCTTCGGAGTTCCCAACGTCCACCATACTGACATCTTCCTCGATGTCCCTTGATTGGCTTGTGGACGTTGGCAGACAAGGTGCCTGCCGGGACGGACCAACGGGCATGTTCACCTGTGGCGTCGGCCGAGATGGTGTTCCTGGGCCTTCGATCTCAGGAACAGGTCTAGCAGACGGCCTCCAGGGCGCTGTAGAGAAGGATCCACCAGACAGTTGGGCGGGCCGTTGGGGGACGTGAGCGGGGACGAGTGCGGAGGAAACGGGGGCGGAGGAGACTGCGGCCGTCCGGTAAATTGACCGGTCAGGGCACTTGTATTCCACTGGCCCAACAGGGTTCTCATCTTCGACTGTGGCTTCACCGTGCCACACCATGGTATGACCACGCATGCTCGTGTCATGGAGAAGATGGAGGAGGAACCTGACCGTCCTGCCATGAGACTTCTTGATCTTGTCAAGGGCGTCTCTATCCCAGACAAAGCGATTCCCGACAATGACTAGAACCTCGCGTGCACGGCTCAGTGCGACATTGAGTCTTTGCTGATCGGCGATGAAACCGACATTGACGGGGTTCCTCGACGGCTTCGTCAACATGAAGATGACCATGGGAGCTTCTTGACCCTGGGATGCATCCACAGTAAGATTATCCCGGCAGCTTACCCCGTGCTGGGCCATGAGCCTTCCGACCAAAGCTCGCTGTGCCGCATACGGAGAGATCACCATGATATCTTCTGGACGAATTTGTTGACCGTCACTCGTCCGATAGGCGAAAACGTTCTTCAGAAGGTGCACAGCCACCATAGCCTGCGACTGGTTGGACCACGACTGGCTACCCTCAGCGCGAATAGCCTCCCCAATCACATTGATGAAAAGGCGGCGAACTCCCACCACACCGTAACCGCGGAAGTAGTGACGAGAGCGGGTGAAGGTGTCCCAGACGTTTCCGACGCGCTGTTCGCTGTTGTTGTTGGGACCCAATCTCAGCGCACCGTTGTAGATCCACCGGTTGAAGAGGTCAAAGATGTGGCCGTGACTGCGGTAGTTGGTCAACAGCATCGTGCAGGGGTAGCCTGCTTCGTGCAGCCTCTCCATCAGGGACCTCTTCAGATACAACGCGCCCTCATTGATCCCGTGTTCTGAGACAACAGTTGGCGGCAGTTGCTCCGGGTCTCCAATCAAGACGATCACCTGAGTCGATGGCATGGTCAGGGCGATGGTGATTTCGCCTTCCTGGCATTGCCCTGCCTCGTCGCAAATCACGAAGACAGGCTCAAAACCCGAACGTCTCAGAAGATCCTGGGACGCGTTGCTCAAGGTTGTGGCAACGATCTTGGCGTTCTGCAGGACCTTCATGACGCAGTGTTCGTAATCCCCCTTGAGGCCCTTCCGCTCTTCCTTGCTCAGTCGTCGCTGCTTGTCGTCTGCAAGGCGTTCTAGTAGAGACCGGGCGTACTTGTCGGTGGTGGCGTGTTCCTGGGCGTACTGGATGGCGAGGACGTGAGCTTGAACGCTACTCAGATTGTCGCCCTCATCTGAAGGTTCACCACCCCTCGCTCTTTCGAGCTGGTATCGCGGTGTGCGGAACCGGACGAGCTGGCCACACCAGCCTCGTAGTCGCTCGTCCCGTTGGAGGGCTTTCACCACCGCCTCAGCAAGGTTGTCCACACCCTTGTTGGACCCAGCAACCAGGAGGATCTTGCAGCCAAGCGCTGCCGCTGTGCAGACAATCGCTTTGGCCGTACTGGTTTTTCCAGTTCCCGGAGGACCTTGGATCAGGCTGACGCCGCAGACGACTCTCACCAGCGAAGCCTGAAAGGCCTCTCTTTGGGCCTCATCAAGTCGGAAGGTCTGTGAAAGGTGACCTATCCTCTCCCGCTGAACATCTGGCTGGACAGGCGACATTTAGCGGACATCCAGGGTAAAGTAGCCTTGGTTTCCTTCCTCGAGCTCGGTTCCATGGGCAAGGAGCGTGCGCCTCAGCGAGAAACCTCGACCCTGGTTTCCTGAACGATCCCCAAAGACAAGAGCTGATTTACTTGCCTCGCCAAGAGCCTCAATCTGGGCGTCAATGGGCATCGTGTTTGCCTCTGCTGATGTGACGATGGGAGAGCGTTCGCCCGGTGCTAGTGTGACCTGGCCTGTCACGCGGAGAACAAGGTCAGCACTAGAGTCACACTGGGTGACAGCTCCCTGATCAGCAAGCTTCGTATCCATGGCGTAGGGGACACCACTGAGAGCCCACTCGAATTTCACCTTGGTGCCCTCCTGCAATTTGGGGACGACCACTTTGTCACTTGGTCGCACTGCCAAGATCTTGATATGTACCAGGTGCGTGCTACCGGGTAGGCCGAAATCACTCTCAGTGCACCATGCCTCATGCTGCCGGGTAGGATTGAAGACCTCAGCAACTTCCCGCACTTGCTGGTAGCGTTCATTCTTAGAGGCCTTCAGAAGACGGCAAATGCGGTCGTTGTCGTCGAAGAACAGGGGATTGTGGGGTTGCCACTTGATGTATTCCCGCCTGTCTTCAGTATTTGTCCAGAGCCATGGCATCTCCGGGTGCCGCTTGGTAACGTCTGACTCTGGGTTCTGGCGATAATACCAGAATCCTTCTCCATCGCAGTCTTGGTGCACGAGATTGTGGAGTTTCACTGAAAAATCGAGCGCAGGCGAAACTTCAGTGTAGCTGCTCTTATATGGAAGAAAGATATACAGATCGCAATCCGACCACTCGATGTTCCGGAGCTTTCTCAGTTTTCCCTTGAGCTCTTCATCCATCAACGGTCTTTGGACCTTGGTAAACACAGGCGAGCTCTTGGACCTCACTGCGTAATAGTATAACTTGTCCTGCGCAGCGAGAAGCGGACAGGTTGTCCTCAATGTGTTGATCCAGTCGTCGGTCTGTGCCGCTTCACCTTCGATCCCACAATGAAAGTGAATTCCCTGAAATGGGAAAATGACCTGTCCCTGGTCCTTATTTTCCAGGCAGAGGGCGATGTATGGCTGCTGAGAGTCTAAGATGACCTGGACCTTGACAGTCATTTCGATTTTGTTCCCCGCAGATTCAATCACAAGGACGCATTGACGCCATGTGCAGGAGCTTTTGTAAAGCCCTTTGGGGTAGTCGTTGCCCTGAGGGCGTTGAAACCAGTCTGCGGTTGTTGGCTGAGACATGGCGAACTTGACGGAAGAGGCGGAGATATGGAGAGGTGGAGGGAAGACGAGGCGGAGATTTCTGTCTGTAGCAGCCAATTGTTAGGGACAGGGACAATGTAAATTGGCTATTTTCGCCTCAAGAGTTAGGTTACTTACCTGGTGGAGGAAGATGGTAAAACCACACTCTCGAAGAGAGGCAGCTGATAATGATGTTAGTCAATTTCTGGACCCTTCACAATGGCAGGTGTACTTACCACAGGTTGATAAATAAACCACACTCTCGAAGAGAGGCAGCTGATAATGATGTTAGTCAATTCGTGGACCCTTCGCAATGGCAGGTGTACTTACCACAGGTTAATAAATAAACCACACTCTCGAAGAGAGGCAGCTGATAATGATGTTAGTCAATTCCTGGACCCTTCACAATGGCAGGTGTACTTACCACAGGTTGATAAATAAACCACACTCTCGAAGAGAGGCAGCTAATCATGATGTTAGTCAATTCCTGGAACCTTCCCAATGGCTGGTAGACTTACCAGGGGTTAGTATGAAAACCACACTCTCGAAGAGAGGTGGCTAGAGATTATGTTAGTCAAGAATGAGATTTTCGTAATGGATGGCGGGTATACTTACCAGGGGTTAATATGAAAACCACACTCTCGAAGAGAGGTGGCTGGTACTACCGTTAGCTATCTGATATAACTTCATGCTCTGAGATCGATGGATGTACTCACAACGTTACCAATATCAAACCACACCCTCGAAGAGAGGTGGCTGAGGTATGCTGTTAGTCAATTGATACTTCCCGAAAACTGTGACCTGCTCGTTGTACCTACCACAAGCACACAGGAACAAAAGCACACAAGAACAAGCCAATGCTCCCTGGGAGCAGAACTGCTAGTGGTAATCAGCTATTGTCTGTTTCCCATCCACAGACATCACGGTTCCACCAACTCACACAGGACAGACGACGCGTTACCCCTCCGGGAGGAGCCAAAAACTGTAGATCTAGTCAATTCAGGTCCAAAACGCGCAGGGATTCAATATTATCGTACCAGACCACAGCAAACGAAGACACTGGTGGGGGAAAGAAGGGAGGGAGCGCAGGCCGCACGCAGAACACTGTCGACGTGATGCGTAGGGAACGAAAAAGCAAGAGGGGAGGGGAGGTGAGCAGAGATAGGTATCTTTGTGCGGAGAACAAGCGAGGGAATATGTTTGGTTTGCTTCCCCATTTCCCTTTTCAGCGAGAAGGGTCTTTCGAATACGAATGTTACTTCTATTTTACCTTTTCTCTCTAGCAAAAGATAAGACTCCACACCTACCTGGATGAAGCATACGGCGTATCGTAACGTACTACAACTATTTTCTGGCGTATCAGAGAATCATGAGTGGCACCACCCAGTCTCGCTCAATATCCTCACAGCCGTTTTGGACTATTCCTCGGAAAATTTGTGATAATATATCTATGTCAAGCTTCTATTACACCGGCCGAGAGGTTGGTTGATAGATGGCGGAGCAGACCGCAGCCAAAATCGGGATGCCTGGTTCTCTACCTCAAGAACAGGGCCAAAATGCTACTCGAAATGTGGCACTGCGCCCGTTTATACCAACACACACTACGTATCCAAAACAGCATACTGACGTTAAATGGTTTGATGTTAGGAGGGTCGGCAGAAGGCTGGCATAAGGCGCCTATAAGAATGCATCCTCTCCGCGCACAGACACTCGGGGTGGTTAGCTCACAGCTATAGAACATTCTTGAGATGCTTATTAAGACATCTCCACCGGACAAATTCCGAGTTTCCCTGAGCTGGCATTTTATCATAGTTCCGACTTTCAGTTTGATCAACTCCCATGAAGATGTAGTTAGTGTATTGCCATTCATCGAGATCGTGGGAACCCTCAAGTCGTCATCCTCAACCACCCTTGGAAAGTGCAATGAAGTCTGAAAAGCATAACAGTTGGATGAGTTGGCATAGTCTAGAACCATGCACACATAATTCTCGGTGCTGATGGGGTACTGAGCAATTACATCACGTATCAGAATTGAGACCAGAACAGCGTTCACTATATTTGCTGATAAATATCATAAGCTGATGCTATGAAAATGGAACAGCGAAGCTAAGAATCCGGCCATTGATTTTCAGACCAGTGAATGCCTCCTTTCAAGAAAGAAATATCGAGGTATGAGGTTTCGTATAGAAGATCAACTCAGTTAAAGGCATTGGCAACAAGATGATAAAAACACAACAAAGAGGAGAAGAAGAAGAAGAAGAAGAGAGAAACACGAGACGATGAGGGGAACGGTGAAGAATGGAAGGCCTGAGCGAGAGGGTGTGTCTAGTTAGGTTCCTCGTTCCTCGGCAAGGGGCAACACTAGTTTTCTCAGATACAAGGCACTCACATCGTTGGACCAGGAAAAGGTACCGTATCGTGAACATGGAGACAAACCCAAGAATGGATGGTACTAATGTGGTATCTTCATGTGTGCTAAAGGGGATTTTTATGGAGATAGTGACGGGCGATTATCAGTCGACCGCGCGATAGCGTTGACTGACGCTCGATATTAGGCAGATGCTTACATTTAGAAAGACATGAGCATTTGATCCATCTGAAGTAACTGTAATGAATTATTGGCAAGACGGTCATTGTTGATTGCAACGAGTTCTTCTTCCCGCAACCCGGACATGATTGCGGAAGCATAAGGGTATAACCCGTCGACCAAAAGGTTTGGTCTGGTCAGATGGATTGGACAATGTAGTGCACGCCAAAGCCAGCCATGTATGTAATGCTGAAGAAGAAGAAGAAGAAGAAGAAGAAGAAGAAGAAGAAGAAGAAGAAGAAGAAGAAGAAGAAGAAGAAGAAGACGGCGATGATAACGATAATAATAATGAAGATTAAGAAAGAGAAGAAATAAAAACAACAATAGGGAAGAAATGGCCTTCATAATCGCCATTACAGGGTATTGTAGTCTGCAAAGTGGCTAGGGGAATGGTGGGAGATTTGTACACAGATTTTGGCTATTGCGGTTCGCATGAATAAAAGGCCTGATTTTCAAGGCTTCAAGTTCATTTAATGGACTGTGGTATGGAAGCCTGAGCTCCTCGAGAATGATGCGGTGAGATCACGTAAGCAGCAGAAGGTGGCGAATGATCAGGTGATGCCTGGCCAGAGTGTTTATCTCAACATCAAGTGCCAACTTCATGAAGATATGAAAAATGAGAATGGCTGTGAGGTGGGCTATACTGACAACTCATAGCCGTTACGGATACGGGCGCCAAGAAATCCGGCATGAAGTTGTGGAGAGTGTTCAATTAGTTCTGGGCAGAATGGACTGTGGAGGGAGCCAAAGGGTATCCTGGTGCGACTCGTGTGGAGGTCTAGCCTTACGGATGTGGAGTTTCCTTTCCATGAGAAGCAAGAGGTTCAGTGGTATGGAGGTAAGAAGTGGCTTGTTGTGAGGGTTGGCCGGGGTCAGTAGAGGTCTATGCTACGTGCAACTCGTCTAGTAAATAGTGATAAGTGCCTAAGCTCTCAAGCTTGGGAGTACAGTAGTACTATTATAAGCTAGCAATAAATCCAATCACGGTACTAGACACCAAATATTCAATACTATGGTCGCCCAACCCCCCTGTAATCAATCAGACTTGGCGGAAAATCCTCAGTCTCCGCCAGCGTAGACACAAATCGGTGTAACACTCGGGAAGAATAGAGTCGAGATAGGGATAGACACCGACGTGCCAAAAGCAGTGGTCAAATCAGCAGTCATATTGGGGCTTTGTATCCCGTGGGAGCAGAGCTCACATAAGTAGTGGCTGTGTAAGGAGTCGAGGTGCCAGTAGCAGAATCAAGGCAGTAGCCAGACCCGTAGGCATTCTTGCAGATGTACTCATCGTAGCCACCCTCCTCCACCCATGGTCGATCTGGACAAGGGTGATCTCAGTGCACGGTGTGTTGTCTGGCCAGATGACCCGGATAGGCGGCTACAACAGCGGTTCCTGGACAGTTCTAGATTGGGATACTTTGGAAGTAAACGCCGTCGCCGTCAACGGCATCCCGCGATGCTCCAGTATCTGTCAAGGCCGAGAGAGTAGGCGCTGTCGAGGCCTTATTGACGAGTATTCTGTGTGGAGGAGAATTGAAGGAAGGGAATAGGGCTGGTTTGTGTACCGATTATGAACTCCCCAAACACGACGTTGGATACATAGCTCGAGCTGCCGTTGCTCTTGAATATCATCGTCTGGTTCGTGTCCCTGTGTAGACGTTGCGGTAGACGATAGTTGCAGACGTTGGCGCGGGAATCGAGGGATCCGATGGCACATCTCCCATTAGAGTCGCAGTAGATGTTCTCGATCAAGAGGCTGTGGGAGTTGGTCTGTGGCAGTTGAGATCAGCACATTGGCAGCTATCGGATTGCTTTTGAGGTTTACCTTGTTGTGAGACATTTGTTCTTGTTGGTGGCCATAACCTACCATAGCATTAGCTTTGGAGATCAAATGCAGGTTCAAGGCCAGTGGTACTTACATCGTGAACCTACATTTTGTCCCCATGCACATCAATACCATCCAGTCCACCGTGATCACCACCGCAGATGACCATATTGTACATCTCCCATTGTAACTGCAGTCAATGACAAAACGGAACATGAACGAGTCGGCCAACACCAGTAGGTGAACAGACGAATCCGACACTCCAAAATGTGCAGCATCCGGGGTCAGTGTAAGTCTCATCTCGATGGTAAAGGTAACCACGACTCTGGATAGCACCCGTTGCGTCTGGGTTACGAAGCTCAAAGTCACTATCACCGTTTATCTCGTACATGTACGACTGGGAGGATGGCGAAAAGACCCAGTAGCGCACGCCATCTATATGAATAGCCCAAGCAGAGCCATTTCCCAGGGAAACCCAGCTCTTCAGAAACAGTCGCCCTCCGGGTCGTAGGTGAGACCACCACTACCACCGTCAGCTAAGGCGTCGATGATGGGTTGTCTCGTGTCGGTGGTATTATCCGAGCTGGCTCCGGTATCGAAGACGTTGCAGGTTTCCGCAAAATCAAGTCGACTGGTGGACAGCCCCTTTTTCTCGACCATCCTACACGATCTTAGCCGTGCAGAAAGGCATCCCAGAAGCTTCGTTGAGTTTCAACTTTTTCTGCATAGTAGAAGGGGAGGTCATGCCGTCCAACAATGAAGGGGAGCTATTTGAATTCGGAGCCGGCGTGGATGTAGCCCAGCATGGAGCAAGATTCCTCCCCAATTAGCAACACATGCTCATTATGGAATCATTCTGTTCGCCTGGCAGGATATAGCCACTATACGCACTATATCCACAAAGAAGCGTCCATGTGACAAAGACACCCTACCTTATGTTGACTGATTTGGCGATGTATGGGTCCAATTCCCTCATAAACGCATTTTACGCTGGTGTTGCATTGTCATTCTTTAGGTTCAGTATCTTATGCTCCCGCGTCGCTCTCTCAAGCCCCACGTGTTATAACAAGACGTGTAATATGAATCGTCCCATGTCATAGGACTGCAGATATAGTATACTTTGATGCCTCATGATTACAGCCAACATCGAGAGAATGGCAGTATCAGATTTCTAGCCGAAGCGGCGATTGGGGGTGTAATGAAAGAAAACCTTATCCTGAAGATATCCGCTTCGAATTAGATTAGGAGACATTGCATCACGAATGTGGAGATTGAGTCACCCTGCGGGAATAATGGCCGGAATGAAGAGCAAATATCTGTGTAGCACGTGATCCTCGGGTAAGTCTACGGAGACATCCCACGTAATTTTAGGGCGGCTTACCATCAGGACAACAACGTTTGTCTACTTATTCTGATGTGAAAAGATCCAGCCACCTACATGCTATGAGATTGCACTCTATAATTGCCCCGTGAGAATTTATCAACTACATCCCCCCCCCCGCGAGCATTAATTTCCGTAACCTGAGTTGGTGTGATTAATTAGGCACGTTTCTCAGCTTTGTGCAAGAGCTAATTAGTTCCAAATACATGGGTTTTCAGTGGAAAACCAGGAGCGTACAACAGACAGACAACTTCGGCATCACGGGCTAGTCAGAGGTTAGTTACCACATACAATGTGTCTCCTTACTTCAGAATTGCATCAACTTGAGCTTTTCACATGGTTATTAGATAAAAGTTCTGTCATGAAGGGTGGCCACCTAAGATAGTGTGATCGCCCTCCCCCCCGCGATCAAGTTTCCTAGCACTACTCGCAGACCGCCGTCTCCCACATCATCACCAACCATCGCACAAATTTTCAGCAATGGACATTCCATCCGCTCCGGTGCCTTTTGGTAGTCCCACCATGGCCGGAAAAGAAAACACTCGTGGTATTTCATCACTTCCCCAGGAACTCTACGATGAGGTGAATCTTTTTTGTCTCTGTCTTGCTACCGTGACTTGCTAAACATGGATTAGGTTACGCTTTTCTTTGCAAATTATGGTCTAGAGGCTGAAGACCGAATTGCACGGTTGATGTGCCTGCGTTTAGTCAGTGTGTCATTCAATCGAAGCGCCACTCGAGTTCTGTTAAGTGCAGTACGCTTGAGTGTGAGTCGCCTGTTAGAGACGCCTCAACTTCTCCACGTGCAGTCTCCGAGCAGCTTAAAGTCCATATTTACGAGCGACCTCTGTCGATTCATCCGCTCCCTCACAGTTTGTTCCTCTGATTGGTGGGCTAAGGCTGTGAGACGACCTCATAACAATCTCTTTCGATGCCTTAAAAGACTCCCTTCATTGCAGTACTTTGAAATTAACTACCGCAGCCAACACGCGCACGCAGTGGTATATATGCTCTTCGACTTTGAACGTGCGCACCGATATCTTCCCAGATTAAGAGAAATCAAAATCGATTTACCGGCGTACAGTTCACTCAAATATCTGGCCCCCTGTTTCCGCAGGCTCGAGGGCGTTCTACGCACATACCTGCCTCAACTTCAACACATTGATATCACGTTTGTCTCTGAATTTTATCGACTCATGCACTATTTCGTAGACCAAGATTTCCTTCATCTTTTCCGCCTTGGCCGTGGGCTAAGATCTATCCGCCTGGTGGGTATCAGCACCTACGCCAACTATCCTGAAATCTATAATCGGAAAAGTTGGCTGCACCCAGACGCTCCAATTGAGCACATTGAACTAGATAAATTTACTGCGCCGTTCGAAGTTCTAGCAAGGATATTCAACTATGAGAGAACCTTGGTGAGGCTGGACATCCGCAGAGTGTTTCTCTCGACGCGTGAATGGAGAGACTTTTTCCTAAAGATCCGCAAATTCCCGTTGTTGTCACATCTGCATATCTATGCATGTTATTATGCCGATGATGGGATATATTTGGCCCGCTGCTTTACCAAAAAGGATGAAGATGCTGCGCAATCTGCTTGTGAAATGACAAAGAAGAGGAGCGAAGCCTTGCCCCGGGGACAAGAGAGGATGATATTTCTAAGGCAAGCCGCGCGATTGAGCAAGCATGGTCTTCACTTGCACTGAGATGCACTTTGGATATGCTACTTGTTCTACAACTTTTATTGAACTTTTTTGCTTCGAAGGGCCAAAATCGATTCTTTATCTCTCTAATAACCCGGTTAAGTCCATGTAGAGCCCCTAGTGCGATGCTAGTTATACAAGCGCTTTTCCGCCCGAGCCATGAATACACGAAACTACTATATGTCATATAATACACAAGCCTATCAAAGACACGCAATATGCGTTCGCTTATTTGTCTACCATTTCATAAAATCTTCTTTCAATTTATTCTTTTTTTTGTTGTACATAGAGAACTGAGACTACTTATTTAGGTGCCCAGAAGATGGCCTTGTGATTGCGTCGGATGTAGGAAGTTCACCCTAGCCGTTGCCTGCTACATTCTTTTCCCCTACGGACCATGCTGTTGATACCTCATACCGAGAGCAATGCCGAACAACTTGACCGGAGAACGAATGCACTCATGACCTGCCGTTACTTGATCTTCTTGGTATAATACACTCAGTGCCCATTCCCACCACTACTACCTACTGTATTGACTAGGTAGCCACCAATGCGTGTTATACGTGCAAGAATGACCCTCCTAGCTAGCCGCTCTGGGAAGGAGCCACGGCCGCCACGATCTCCAACAAAAAGAGGAAAGCATGCCCCTCTCAGGTGCAGTCTCTTGGCCTCTCGGTTCAGGACGATTCTCAACTTCTTTTCCGTCATGATCGGCATCTAAATACCGTGGGTGGACAGAATCCCAACACCCCCCTCTCTTTTTCTTCATGCGTTTTGGCTATAGATCCCGCAAAAGGCCATCCATCCCAAGAAGTGATTATACATAGCAAGTGCCAGCACTCCTCCAGTGGCCTGTCGTGTGACTAATTTCGAGAGCAATTTGCGCAGCCTCTCTCCGTTCCAGCACTCTTCGAGTGTTCTGGTCTCGTACCCAACCAGTAAGAACAATCTACATCGTTTCTCCGTTCCAGCACTCTTCGAGTGTTCTGGTTTTGAACCCAATCAATAAGAACAGTCTACACCGTTTCTCCGTTCCAGCGCTCTTCGAGTGATCTGGTCAACTTGATACCAGGCGGTTTATATCCAAAATCTTGAACCTTCTGGACATCCTCGCCCTGCGAATACCCTGAACCTTGATTCAGTCTATTCTTGGTACGTAACACGACGTGCACATACTTAGGAATGAAGTTTTTCGGCAGCTGCTAACTCAGTGATCCCATATAGTGCACCTATCACAATGAATTCGGCGAAAGATTGGGATCCAAAGGTTAGAATACCCAGAACGCCGGCGGAATGGGCATTGATGGCTGGGGAGGCAAAAATACCACCACTTGCTGAAGGAGTAAAAGCCGATGAGGATTACCCAGCAGGTCAACCAGCCTTGTACCTGGACATGCATAAAGTTGGTCATTGGGAATCTGCGTCGAAAGTATCGGAGGCACACTTTCTCCTGACTCGATGTTTGTGGAAATTTAGCAACAACACGGCGTTAAGTGAGTGGGATTCATACCCAGACCCTATGATAAACCCAAAAAGACATGAAAGCTTTCAACCAGCTATGGATTGGCTTTCTAAGAGACCGGACTGGAGGGCATATGTTCGCGACATACAAGAAAATACGAATAAACGCCCTGACCCGGGACAGGCGAAGAGCCTTGGCGAATTCACAAGTACGCGACATTGGCAACTTTGTGTCCGAGATGGGGAGAAACAGAACAATGAACGTGACAACTCCCCTCCTGTCACAAGAAGCAGAGCGAGACAAGATTTGCCTTCAGTGGAAATGCAGGCGGACGCTGACGGCTCTTCCGATTTGTTTGACGCAAGGCCCGAACGGACGACCACCGTGTTTAATGCGAGCGGGAGTTCCAATGATGCTGCCTCCAAAGAGGATGATTCGAGCGACAGAATGAGCGGGGTCTTGAAAACCATGTCGAGGTCGAGCGGGAGTTCCAATGATGCTGCCTCCAAAGAGGATGATCCGAGCGACAGAATGAGCGGGGTCTTGAAGACCATGTCGAGGTCAAGTGGGAGTTCCGGGGAACCTTCCGCCAACGTGAGGGAGTCCCACATGAGGATGGACGAAATGCACGAACTCACGACATACGAGACTAGGTCATCATGTCTCAGCTTTGGGGCGCTAGCGAAGAAAATGTCCGCCCAATCTGCAACTACGAAGGAGGAAGCATCGATTACGCTCTGCAGAACAAGCGACGAGGAGACGGTCAATATGGCGCTTGTGGAATTTTTGAGTGCATTGACTAGATGCTACCCACATGTTCATCTGGAATGGAAAGCAGACAGGCAATTTTTCGAAGTCGACCTCGGAAAGGCTCAGCTCCGTGCTAAGTCAGACGGTGGATTGTTTTCAAGACAATCAGACATTTTCGCCCTTGTTGAGGTCAAGCCCTTCGTGCTTATGGCGGCACCCGAAACGACTTTCAGGCAAATGTCAATGGAGATGGTCGCATGGATTGCGCATGCCATGAGAAATCCGCAAGACCGAAGGAAAGCGTATGTTCTCCTCCATTACCGTACTCATCCTAAGTCCAAGCCGTTTTCTAATACGCTGGAAGATACTACATGGTAACCGAGCACCGTCACGAAGTGTACCTTATCATGACAAGACCGACGGAGGAATACTTGGCCCACCTTGACGGCAGCATGCCAGTCGTAGGTCTTTCTCATGAAAGCACGTTTTTGAGGATCCACTTAATCGGCCCGCTGGATATTTACCGCAAAAATAAGGTCCGTACACTCGGGCGCTGGTCTTTGTGGCTCAGTACATATCTGAGTCAACAGTATATCGAATTACGAGAGGCCAGAGAAGCATCTGCATGATTCAACGACTTTGCCCTTGCAATACCGTTCCCTGCGTGGTGATACACCATCAATGCTCTGCGTGTGCCGAATATCGTCCATAGCCGGGCGCCACATCAGTATAACAACACGTCTTGTTTTCCCTTCCCTGAATCATGCAATCGAAAGTCGGAACTGCCCGTTTGATGGCCGTTGTACACTTATAATAATAACCAATGAACTTCAAGACAAGAACCATTGTAGCCTTCTTCCCACCACAGCATTTGGTATGTATCCATATTTAGAACCCACAAACAATTTCGTGGTGGTTCCTCGCCAATTTGTGCAATATAGAAGGATAAGTAAATATTGAATCAACAAAGCTGGCGTATCTGCGGCTTCACTCCAACGACAACTGACTCGAAAGTAGCGGTAGTCGGATAGACAACCATCTGCAAGGATCTTCTGTCAGAAACATCCTCCTCTATAAGCATTGGTACCACGTAGAAATTAAGAGAGTGTGTGTATGTAAGTGACGGAGCGAGAGATGGGGATTACTATCCTCGAATGCAAAACACCGACAGACGCCTTCCAAGGCGCCTTATTTCTGCTTTGCGGTGGCGGCGAGATCTATGTAATCCAACGTAGCCCATTCCTTTCCTTGCATACATACAAAATGTCAAAATGGTGCAAAATATGGGTTCGCCACTCGCGTTCCCCCTGGGAACTCCGACGGCATTTGCCGAGAGGTCATGTCATGGAAATCTTATTATCGAAAAGCACACCTTACTTCGTTACCATCTAGAGATGTACCTTGGCTCTGCCTATTGCTTATTCTACTAGGTCTCTGCGCGGTGTGATTCCTGCTCAGGCCGCGTCTGCCTTCTTGTGGGTCGCCGTAGATCTTCTTCGTGCCTGTGTATCTCGTGATCTCCGTGTCGCAGCTGTGTCATCTCCATACCCATTGCGCACCCTTACAATCCCCCATACTAGATACACAGATACGTCTGGAAGGAGGTGTGCTCTATACCTGGTGTGTTGATACACTGTGAAGAGGGTTACCATAGACGACACAGCTTCATTTGGCGAGAAAGTAAGGGAAGTTTCACAGGATCGTTCAAGTCCGCCGGAAATATAGATTTACATGATCTTGTTGGAATCAAGGGTTGCAATCTCAGTCCTCTTGATTGATTCCTTTTTTTTTTAATACGTCCATTAAGCGTATCAACAAATCCAGACTTTGAGCCTCTTCATGCGAGGGATCTTCCTCTTTCTACGAAAATGTAGAAAAACCAAGAACCAACGCGGTGGCAAATACAAAGGTCTTCAATTTTTACATAATACCCAGGATTAACCTGGAGCGGTGCACCTCAGCCAGAGAGGTGAGGACGGTTTCCCCTTATTAGATTGATGAAGATGTTCATGTTCCGCGAGTGATTTTCGATTCCATACTGGATATGGATTTGCTGGGATGGGGATATCATTTTATACTCATCCACGAATCTAATTCATTTGAAGAGTCGTCAACATCAAGGTTTGCGTTTATATTTTCTGCGATTTATCGATCATTGCCAGATTCCTTCTTGCCTCGCGAGAATCATTGACGCTTTCTCATCTAGATTTCCCGCCCACCGCTGGGTTATTCTCGGTTATGTGTCCAACACATTTTCGTTGAATTTGGACATTCCTCATCCTCCTGTCAATCGTCATGCCTGGTTTATTTTAGCAGGCAAAATTGAGTATTTAAATATAGTAGCTGAAAACTTAGTTATGTCTTAGTGCTCTCATGATTCCACCAGGTCTCGAACCAAGAACATAAAATCTTTTGGTAGACCATGTACTTGTCGCACGTCATGATGACATGCTAAGTCCCATACTTGTCACAGGCTCGTATAGCGTGCCAGGTATCTGCAATAGACACTGATTGACGGGACGTTCATTTGAATACCCCAATAAATGGGGATTCGATGTTTCAGTGTGAGATGTCGCTTAGTAATGATTGAAGCCATGAACACTGAAGTAAGGAGGGCACACATTGAAGCAAAACCAATGTTCGATAATGAGAGACCCTTTAGCGAACGAAACAGACTTTCTGACATGGCCATCGCAATGATACTTTGAATATGACCTTCTGTACTATGAGATACGCTCGTGGGTCCCGAGTCCGATTTGGATTGGATGCGTTCTACTTCGATGTTTTGCGCAATTCGGCCATATAACATGAATAACCCAGATCCATAATCCGATGCTTCCCAGGCACGCGAACGTTCATAGCATGGTCTGGTGGACATATGGCATATTGTGATAGGATACTGAGACACAAAACGCCCCGTGCCCGTTATGAGTGGTACGGGTAGTGGTGAGCTTGTCCCATCACAGTCGCTTTCACGGCAACATCATGCCGCATTTCTGTATCGCCAGATTGTAGAAGTCAACATAGGACTACGTATAATCATTGAGCAGGAGTGAATATGCGCGCCAATCATCAATATATCCAAACCCTCCAGAATCAGATCCCAATCACATCAAAGGCTTAACTGAAGAGAAATATTCAAAGGAAGATTACCAAAGAGGCACAGTATTGTGTTTCCAGTAATCATCATCATTGCCCTTCCTGTTGTAAGTACTGAGGGCCTGGAGGTAACGCAATTTGACGAAGAGTCACCGAATCGCAGGGATCAACCTGCCGGTGTTTCCCCAGTACAATCTAAACAGAATCTCTTCCCAGGGACCTCGCCCACTGTTGGGGGTATAATTTGCCACAGTATGAACAAGCTCGATCTAGTCAACAATATGGCCATACTCAAAGCCCTGAGAAACATTGCATACTACTCTGTCTTTCAGAAGGCACAGAGTGTGGGACGAGACGAATAAGCCAGCAGTACTGAAGCCGCAGAGAGTAGGCAACCGGCAGTTCTATGGTGATGATCTAATGGCCATTCGCTGTGCGGGGCGTATAGTCGGTTAAAGTAAGGCAAACAGATGTGACGCAAGAGTCTGTGGCTCATGGGAAATTGTTTCCCAAGGTAGACTGTGTGCCAGTGGTGCATCTAATTATGGGAATATAGGGCTTATAAGATACTCATAACTGGAGAATATATGAGCTAAGCGATCAATATTGACGGTAAAGGCACTCACCTTCTAACACATTAGGACGATGGCACCGTTGTAGTATATACCAAAATAATTGGGATGCATAGGGTTGAAAGTAGGCAAATTGATTTGCAACCAAAGCAGCAGACGGGATAGAAGCTTCGCTAGCCTATCAGTCTGAGTTGCTCACAGAGTTTTGGCATCACCTGCTTTCCCAGAATTCATAAAATGACCAGCGGACTGTCTATATGCATCGCCATATGCTCTTTCTTCGTAGAAAATTATGATATTTCGAAGTATATACTTCATTAAAGTTGTAATACTCAAATAGCAACGGCCAATGCTACGAACTGAGTATATATATGCGGAACAGTGGATGCAAGAAATACAGCTGAAATTGAGATTTTTAGAAGAGGAAGAAGGAAGAAAGAAGAATGGAAGGTTTTCTAGATATTTATGTCTGCAAATTGGCGCATTCATTGAATTGGAAAATAAGGGGTAGTGAAGCCAGGATGCTTGATGTCAAGGGACTACTCATCGGACACTGCCGATGTGAAATGTTCCTACGTCATTCCCGCACCCAACATTCAACCACTCAGAGGACCTTGCCATACCTCTCCGTGTTTGATTGTAGATATGAATTGATCATCTAATTAACTCACCCTAAGCAACTTTGATGACTGCTGGCTGAATATTTCACTTGCGCCTTTCACTTGCCTAGAGGGCAGTGATGCTATCTACCAATGTCCCCGTCAAGGAGTGGTTTGAGGCTGTGTATGTAAAATTACTCAGAGCTTCTGCATCTAGATGCAGGAGACAATGCCCTATGGTGAAGGATCATTCCGACGACGTACAGTATGTGGGAAGGATGGCAGTAGTACTTGCAACTGCCAGACCGGCAAGAGGCTCGAATCTGTCATAATGCTTCTACTACGAATAGCATGACTCTCTTTCACAGCAATAAGTTTAAGAGTGGCCTGTTGAGTGCTCATCTAGTTACATTTGTATAACATTTTGTGTCTTAGTCTAGTAAATGCTCTAGCTGGACTCCGTAATAGCCGTCCAAACAGCAGCTTCTCTAACGCATGCGTCAATTTTTCTCGGCTGTTAGGTAACATAGACTTCCGGAAACAGTATTGCAATGAATGAGATATATCACCGCAGAAATGTTTGGCATGATAGTGTGGCGAAGTAGCCAGCGATACCCGAATCGCTACATGCCTGTGATTGGGACTAAGTGACAACGTATCTATCTATATCTCTGTCGAAATATCATATGCCTCCCTAGGACTTAAGAAGTGTGCATCGTAAAATGCCTTGATAAGTTCCTGGAACCGCCATCCCTAAGCATTCGTGTGCATGAATTTTCGGGTTTAATTGGATTATGCTTAGGCCAAATTCATGAAAATGGGTCCGATTCTCGACACTACCAGGAGTGACTGGCTTCTGTAAGCTAGCGCACCAAAAATACCCACAATATCAACTATAGACCGCCCAGGTTTCTCAACTGTCACGAGCCATCTCCCCAGCTCCATAAAACAGATCATATCCCAAACTGACACCTATATCTTAGCCCTCACCTTCCGCTCCCCCTCCTTCACCCCCGTCCCCTCCTCAAACCGATAAACCACATCCCCAAACGACCCCGTCGGAAAGACATAAAACCACTCCAACGGCTCCCCGCTCCGATTAACAACCCCATGTTCGGCATCTCCGGGAATGAACACCACCGTGCCCGCAAAAACCTCATACTCGTTTCCATCGATAAATACATGTCCCGATCCCGAAGTAATATAGTATATCTCCGCTTGGGTGTGGCGGTGACGACAAAGATGGCCTGTGCGCGGAGGGCAGACTGCTAAGCCGGCACACATGTCGGATGTCGGGGTCTGAGGGGAGGAGAGGAGAGTGCGCCATGTTAGGTGGCCGTGGGCGGGGTTGGGGAAGGATTCGGGTGGGGGCGAGGAGATGGCTTGGCGGTGGTGGATGACGGGGTGGGTTTTTTGGGTGGGCATTTTGGTGTGTTCGGTGTTTGAACTGGGAGCTTAGAGGGAGAGGATGGTGAGCTAAATTGGAGGTACCGGGGGATTATTTAAATCAAGTGGAGTAGCCTCGTATGACGCATTGAGTGAGTTGGCACCGGAGGGGTTCGGAGGTGATATGCAAGTTTGATGCATGTACGTTAGGGTGGTTTCGTGCTTGTGCTTCAGAGAAGGTGATTTGCTCTAACCAAGACATGTATGCACTATCACTCTTGGAAAAAGGGCTAGGCGAAGGAGTGACTGGATTCCACTAACTGAACGTATCTAGGGAACTATAAATAGCTCAGTTACCCCTCATACACCATTTTCTCCGCATCAATGGATCATTGATTCGGCAACCAGTAAACCAGACCGAAGATCAACACATAGCGTCATAACCCCGATCGGAACCTGTCGGCTTGCCAGCTCCTCATCATTCACTGCAGCCGCATACGAGACTGTAACTACAGCCCCGGTGAGACACGCTACCTCGCCCACGATAGCTGCAGATTGCGTCGCACCAGCCTCTTCGCTCGTAAGCTCATACAGATGGTACGACGTAGCCATCAACTTGGGAATAAGGAGAAGTGCCTTGAAGACAGCACCCACTACCCGCCCATCACTCGGTAGCAAATCGGGGAAGTTGCTCGTGGTAGCCACAAGCTTGCCATAGACGGGTGTGAATCCAAGGAAGCTGGTGGCAATATCGGGACCAAAGCAAACGCGTGAAAGCACCTTCATACCTGAGTCCTGGATGGGATCCTTGGGTGCCAGGAGGTTGCTGGCTCCCACGCTTGCCACAACTATGAGCTTGATGACCACTACCAATCCGCTGAGGGTGCCTGAGCCTCCAGGAACAGGGCGATGTTGCCGATGAACAGTACCATTCCGCTCATGGCATTTGTGTACACGTAAATGGACTGCTGAGTGGTTTTGGAGAGCGCGCCGAGAAGTTAATGTTGAGGAAAATAACTGTTCCAACTCGTCCCAGCTGCTGGCTACGATGAGAGCAGCAGAGTTGTCATCGTCGGGAAAAGGGGGTTCGTTGTTTGCCACCTTGTACACGACAGTGTAGGCGACAGCTCCAATCCACATGAAAATTTTCCAAGAAAGAGATATTGGTGACTTCCAAAAGATTCAAGATGTCGGAGATGACGGGGATATGGAGCTTGGTGTCCAACAGGGACATGGCCTCATCGGCAAAGCTTTGGATGAAATCAATCAATGCATCCACAACTACCTGTGCGCTCGATAGCACGCCGTCCACGAATATACCGGCTAGGCGGCGCAGTACCATTCGATACTTAGAAAGCTGAAGTCGGTGGCCAAAGTCTTCAGCCGACTGTAGAGATCTTCCAAAACCTCCCCTTCTGCAGATAGTGCTCCTAGCAGCTTAGTAACCAAGTCTTCAGTCACACTTGCTGAGGGAGCATCGCCAACGATAGTGAGGTCGTTGGCATGGTTGCGGAAATGAGAAGACAATAGCTGCGAGCCCGATGTCTGGCCCTCTGCTGGATTGGCGCTGCTGCCCGCGGCCGTCTCGCTGGCAGGGTCCCCGAGTTTCGACCAATTTCTCAGCTAACATCAACATCGCCACTGCTCGATGACTGGCGTTATTATGCTAGGAAATACCCCGGTCGACGATGTGGATCTGTAACCTATGCTCGATTAGATTAAACAAGCGGGGTTCGAAGGGCCAAAACAACCATCTTGACCCGATGGACCTTACTATATTGATTATCGACGTCACTCAAGTAATCAAGTATCATTGTCTGCAAATGCGAGAGTGCTCTAGGTTACCTATAGTATTGAGTAGCATCAATACGGCTTTTATCACAACCCAGGGATTGATAGATCTGAATAAAGCACACCTGCCCTTTCTCAGAACGTATACTTCGTGCCTCGCATATATCACATCTCTCCATCCTCGCCTCACATTCCAAGCCCAAGGATCAGATGACCCTCGCTGCAGTGAATGTCTCAGCATGTATTATTCCACGTATTCCAGGTAATGCAATGGTAAATGACGTCCCTCTATTCATGCCCAGTGACTTTCGATATAAACAAGATCTGGAAACCCCACAGTAGGACAAACCTGGGTGGTCTAGCGGTTGACCTTTCGCGTCGGGCCTTACATGGCACTCTGTGGGAGGGTCCCGCGTTCGATCCGTATCGGGACCTTGTCTTAGACTCTGAAAAGTGTCGCCTCTTTTTTTTCTTCTTCTTCTCTTTCTTTTACGTGTTGGTCTATGGGATCATGATGCCTCCCAGAGGAACTCAGCCTATTTATGTGGCTCTTCTGTTGTCTCAAGTGATCTCACAACTTGATGATTTTGATCTAAAATGATGCTACCAGCAAAATTCCGCATCTACACGCAGATCAACTCCCTATCATGATTAAAGTTACTTGGGCTGACCCGGATGGTGTGAGAATAACGTACCAAGCCTCCTTCCCATGGAGTTTCCCGTCAAAAAACACCAAGGAACTCTAAAGTTAAGGTTCGCGGTCTTCTGACCTCGTATATATCATCCTATCAGATCCCCAGGCGGTACCCAACTCTATCCGGACCATGGTCCAGACTAGCTCCATCCGTGTGGAAACCTCAGCCGAAGGTATAATTCATCTATGGACAGTGGTTCGGAGCATAAGCTGGTTACGTGGCTCCTCATGAATTACCTCAACAGTAGCTACGGGAGACATATCACATCAATATGAAGATTGTATGTGATTGGATTAATTATCTTAGCTTACGGTAGCAGAATTAGGAAGGTATCCGTACCCAGAAGGAGATAATGTATAAGAACACCCACTTTCATTGATCCATTGAATGCCAGATAATTACGACGGAGTAGGCTACAACGATGAAGAAAGACATTCCATCATTGTGACTAGCACATAGTATCCCAATGAATTTGTAGGCTGGCAAAGGACAACATTGTAGATACGGGGCTCGCCGATAGTTTGTAGCTGACGAATCAGAAAGAGAAAGAAAACAGAAGAAAAGAAATATTAGATGCCAATGCAAGATTCAGAACGTCCATCTTGCTAGGGGCAATGGAAGAATTCGAAACTGGCTGGTTTGTGAGTTATTGAATGCCAAGATTCCCATTCATCACTTCGCTCCTTCATCGCCTTAACAAGGGTTGGTAATGAATGATCCACACAGCTGCCAGATCAAAAAGCGTAGGCATCCAATATGGCTCCCGTCTTTACCAAATCCTCATCCTCGACAACTAGCCAGCCTTTGCTCTTCATTTCATCCACCAGCTTCCTCTGCTTAGACGAGGCCGAAGAACGATTAATCGTCTTAAAGGAAAGCTCGACGATGTAATCAGTTCTCTCAGCCAAGGCATTCACCATGTGCCAAACCTCAAGGCCGATCGGCTTACCATCCCAGGACCCGGAGTAGCGATCAACATGAATCGGGCCATGAATGACCGACCGCTGCAACGCGTAAGTACCCCAATCATGAAGTTTCCAATGCTTGAACTTGTTAGGCGCTTTCGCGATCAGCAGCTGCCGCAAAGTGTCTGCTTTAGGGAATTCTAGTTCATTGGGTAGAAATCCATCTAGCTTCTTCTTGGTGGTCATTGAGAGCATCTTTTGTTCGTAACCCCATTCAACTTGTGCCTTGAACTCCCGACTGTCACCAGTGGGCTCATTGTTGAAACCCTGCAAATTGGCATGGATGAGAATGCTATCAATATCGCTGTTCGTGATTGGGTAGTGATGTCTGTACGTAAATTCGACAGCACTATCACCTTGAGCTTTGCGGGCGCTAACGCTCCAGCCGGCCCCGAACATTTCCTTGGTTGGGGTGTCGAGAAATTCTATGATCTCCATGATGGGGCTCGGCTGCATGTTGAAGGTAGATTGGACGTCGGTTTTCAATTCAATGCTTGGGGTGAGGATCTCGGCTGGTTCGAGAACGAGTCGGATTTCGTAGTCAGGCGCCTTGTTTTGTGGCAGTATACCTGACGGGCGCAAGTGGCTCATTGTGACGGATACTCGGGGGTGACTTGGTTTTAGTGAAACGGTAGTTGCAAACGCGGTGCAGTAAATAAGGTGCACGAAACGGGGTGCAGGAAACAGGGTGTAGAAAACGGGGTGTAGAAAACGGGGTGTAGAAAACGGGGTGTAGAAAACGGGGTGTAGAAAACGGGGTGTAGAAAACGGGGTGTGTTTATATGTGGAATTGAAGCGTAGTGAATGACCAGTGTGAAGCATGGTATGAACTGTCAGTGGAAGCTGCACTTCCCGTTTTTCTGGGCATAAATGCTGTGCATGTTTGCATTCACTGTATACTCACTTTTTTTTTTCTAAAGAGGCCGCCACCGGGAATTGGGGCATGCCAGGGTCACCATGCAGTAGTAGCAGCGCATTACTTCACGGGTCCTCCCGAGCCACAGACGGCTGAGAGGATCTTCCCAATTCCCACATCCCTCTCATGAGAAAGGTTTCCATTAATATAGAGGTTGGATAAAGCCTGCCGTGATAAGAGGTTTACCGGGCAAGAGTTGTGATGGCCTCATTGTAGGCTGGATGACGACTTAGTAAGAGACTTACGATATTGCATTCTACATGATGGTCTCGAGGAGGCTGATTAGTTCCCCCAAGTCCTCAGGTGTTAAAAGAGCAATGAACTCACATATTGGCGCTGAAGTAACACACAAGACTTTTTGCACCCAATCTGTATGAGTGAGGCTAGATAGATGCCAGATTAACATGGGTACTGTCACAATACTAGCTTGGTGGATCCGTTGCCAACACTGGACTAGCGCTGTGAAGCTTAAATCTGCGGGATGGATCTCTGCCCCGCTCACCCCGCCGGATCCGAGGTGCAGCTCGCACGGTCGGCATCTCGCCCTCGGGTCACAGTCGGTCTCGATGAGTCTACACCACAGACCTTCCCTTCTGACAGGTTGGAATACGAAAGCTAGGAGATATACTACTTCACTGAGTGCTTGCTTTTACGCCATAGTTACAATAACCTCTCACTTAGTCCGCTGGGGAAAATGCTAAGTATAAATAGCGACACGGGGAAGGCGAAAGCATGCATCATGGCAGTAGCATTACTACTAGTACTAACTGACAACTTGGGTGACTAATAAACAAATCAGGACATTTTGCCAGTACCAAACCACCATGCCTGTCCCCCACTACGGTGTCTGGGCTTGTCGCCCGTTTGACTACTACGCCGAGGGCCGTGGCCAGCCCACGCCACACATCTACCTCTACTTCAGAGACGACTCGTCCGGCAAGCGAACTGCTGCTATCAACGTCAAATCTAACGGCAAAGAATCTCGTCTGGTCTACTGGGTTGATAAAGACTTCACCCATCCGATGACCGACAAGCTCGACACCCTAGAGCTAGGATTCCACCTGATCCAAGATCCCAACAATACCCATAATAATGGTAATCAACATCGCCACCATGACCACCGCCACTTCCGCTATAATCACTATACTCCACAACACGCCGATCTGGAGGGACTTGACTTCTACCGTACAAAAGGCCTCGTGAACATTCTTGCCGGCGAGATCCTGAAGCACGACATCGACGGACCTGACAATGACATTCTGGATAAGCTGGAGCCCATCATCCAGGCGGCTATTAATGATGAAAATGCCACTGCCTATATCTTCGGTGCTTCGTTTGGATCTGGAATTCATAACATTCATATGAACCAGGGCAGTCTGCCCAAGTATGATAATGGGATTTACTCGGATGGTGGTTTGTTGTTCAAATTCTCTGATGGGCACTGGGAGGCGGTGTTTCTGGCCTTTGCTTCGCAGAGACTTCCTACGGGTGATGATGGGGAGGCGGAGAGAGGTAGTGAGAGCTTGTTGCAAATTATTCGGGAGGCAGTCGGGTCCTGAGGTCTAAATGACGCTGATATAGTGTATGGAATCATCTTGAAACAGGTTGCTACGTAATAGTATGGACCAAGATGCAGCTCTATTGAGTGTGGCAATTTGAAACACGGTTTGATTGATTGCTCTGCTAGTGACTGCCTACAGTTGGGCTATGTACTAATGAACCTGTCTGCTCAGTAACATCTTAGATTATATGATCAGAAATGCATTCAGTGGCTTGGGCAGAGCTTTATGCTGTCGAACTTCATAGGCTCTACTACAAATGGTACTAAATTGAATATTGTGTGGCTGACGGAGACTGTGGTCATTAACGATGATGGCCAGGAGAGTAAAAAGAAATATGTAACTCGTAGTAGCCGAAAACGCTGACTAGTTTAGACGAGGGGGTATTCATCTTGCTGTTTGCGAAAATCATCGTTGAGACCACTATCAGCGATCCGTAGATGCTTCCCTTACATGGACAGAAATATTAAGAATGTCTCCTAAGCCTACTGAGATGAACAGGCGAACAAAAGAGTTTACAAAAGATTTGAGTGAGTGCTGCTTGGACCTTAGGTTTTCCTGAGCAGGCGGGCCGAAAAATAGCAAAAAAGAAAGCCCAACGCGGGGCTCGAACCCGCAGCCTTGAGATTAAGAGTCTCACGCTCTACCGATTGAGCTAGCCGGGC